TCCCGAAACATTTCGGATAAACAGTCTCAATAACGCCTGACGTCTCATCTGTTGCCTATTTCCACTACGAAATAAACTTCGTTGACTACACTCGTGGCATTTAGATTTCACGAGATCTATGATAGCGATTCCACTAAAGCAGCGTATACATCCAAAAAGGTGCGCTTTCATACTCTCCTAGCACAGGCTTGACTAATAGGAGTCGGAAAGGAGGACAAACTGTGTCTACCTTCAATTATCGCCACAGGAGGTTTGGAAATATCCCAATAAAAAGCGCTAATTAGGTCACACAATGACCCCACGGAAAGAGTTATTTCGATGATCTGAAACTGGAGACCGTTTAGGTGCACACGGTCTTGCAGATTCCCACACGAATAAAACGGCGTTCTGGAGATTTTTGTGTGTGGTAAACAAGTGCCTGAATTAACATCGCCTTACAAATGGACCAGGGTGGAAAAGTTGGAAACTCTGACCTGGAGGCAGCCTAGTCTGGTTCTGCTGCCTGTGGGCGTGTTCATTTAGCACACAGAAAAACACATGACTCGGCAGCCCCTGAATTTCTGAGAAAGGTCTTTGTTTTGTCAGCCTTTTTAAAAACGGTAATCTAACAAACGGTCCCTTGACTACCAAATCGTGAAAAGTCCCAACGTGGCACCTTGGCTTGGCAGCAGCAAACGAAGTTGATGCCAACAGGCTGGTAGTGGATATTTTCAGCAGGTAACCGTCAAACAAGTAACATTTGAAAACGTCTAAGGTCTAAATTTAGTATCGGACCGTTAATAACAATACTTGTTGATTTTGGCCCTAACGGTTGCCAGTCGCTTCATGTTAGAAAGCGACTTCCATTTTTGGAGTCGATATAAGCAGACAAATTTGCTCTTTTAATCTAGAATTGCCAGTTTAATGCGCTATTTAGAATGCGGATAGACGATAATTCTTAATACAAAAAATGCATATAAGTGACTTGCGGTCACATGCGAGTGTGCTTCAAACCACTGACTTACTAAAATTTGAAAATGAGGTAATATATTTCGTGGGAAGGGGTCAGTGAAAGAGAGCAGAAGATGGACTGGGAGAAATAAACATAAAAATGTGAGACATGGTTCATACTCAGATGTACTAGATGGTCACTGTGATAACTGAGTGTTACTTTCTTTGCTAATCTTCGAATTCTTTGTGAGAATGAATTCGTCATTTTGTCTTCGACTGAAAGCATGATTTAAACTGTCAGTATCTATATAACACCTATGTGATCAGAGGTTGAGATATTCGACAAAGTGGACTGACGTTCTCATTCCCATGCATTGTTTCAGCAATAGAATACACGTTTACGCTGACTGAAGAGGAACGTTCGTAGCTGTATTTGTAGCAAATTGCCAACGCGGTACGGTTTCGATGGCAGAAGACGAACAACATTATGAAGTGCGTGACTATTAAAGAACCCCCACGTTTATTAACAATACAAGACGTTTGCGCGTGATCGATAAAACACAGTTTTGTCACATCATGGGATAATATGCCATTTTCAGGTTTGCTGTTCTGCCATCATAGATTTATGTAGAGCCAAGAGTCTTACATTTATGTGCATTTATCAGACGAAGCTCCAATTCGGAATTTTAGACTATGGAACTTTGCAGGTAAGGCTGCCTTTACGACAACAGTTAGCTGAAAACCGCTCTCAAACCTAGGCCTAGTGGCTAGAGAGTATGGTAAAGTAAATAGTATAGTTTTAGTTTATTCTTCAGTTTTGGTTATAGCTCGGTCTGCAGCCACCTATTTTACGGAGACGAGCACTCCTCTTCCTGTATCCCTCTAAGGCGACCACAAAGGTCGTCCTTACCTTTTACTCC